TTTTTTTTAAATGTAGGGAGTAGAAAGTACAGATAATTGTGTAAAAATGTAATGATTAGAAGTAAAAAGTTGGCTGAAATAAATTTACTCAAGTAAAGTACAGATAGCCAAAATTTCTACTTTAGTACAGTAACAAAGTATTTGTACTTAGTTTCTTTACAACTCTGGTTTCAGTTTCTGTTTGTGTCAGATCACGGCAAGCTGCAGGTCTGGCAGATATTACCAAATCACCACTAAAATGTAATCATTTGTTCTTTGTGACACCCCCAACATGCCCTGACAACTTTATGTGCATTTGTAACAACTGAGTACTAGAATCAGTGAATAATACACAGTTAAGTGTTAAACCAGTGATGATTGTTCTGTCATCATCACATCCACAATATTTAACCGCTGTGTTTTTGCTGATGCTTCATCAGAGATTTGTTTCCTTTAAGAAAGAGTATCATTGAAGAAGAGGAAGATGAGGACTTACCAGTCCATGGCAGTAGTTGTAGCCTAGTTCTCTGCTGATGGTCCAGTTGGCATGCTCTTCAATCTGCTGCTCGTCAGGAAACAGAACAGTCTGGTTGAACCAGGAAAACTCCAGCTCCACACAGGGAGTCTCCTGATAGTAAATGAGTTATCAGTCAGTAACTAATCAGCTCAGCCATGATCAATCCTTTGACAGCAAACAGAGAGGGGTACCTTGTTGGGATTTGAACCAGCCACTCCAATAGGATTCAGCAAGTCTTCAAGGCCATGGGGAACTGGCCAAAGACTCAGAGCTACCTTTCCAGAAACTAGGATGTCTTTGTAGTCAAACAGGTTGACATTTCCCCAAGCTAAAGGACAATGCTCCTGGGGAGGACAGAAGGCCAGGTGAGTGGGCTGGTACAGTCCTCTTACCAAATACAGCTCTTCTTCTCCTACCTCCTTGGCTCCTTTCCTTCCCTTCACAGAGCAGATCGACAGACAGAGTCTAGCTGAGCGAGGAAGATCTGCCAGGTAGATGTCATAGGTCAGCCACTCGTTCCACCTGTGATGTACGGACAGACAGGGGACAGATACAGAGTCAAAAACTGAAAATATAGGTTAGGGTTCRGTTTCTATTTCTCTATTTGACACATCTTGCCTGGGATTGGAGCAGGGAACTCTCTGTGTGTTGACATTATCACACAGTGGCTCTCCTCCATGATAGATACCTGTCCTCACATAGATCTGCACAGAAACACACACATCAGCGAGGGCAACTTTAATGTAGACACTGAAGTAGATTAAGATTAAGGACAGATACAGTAAATTTTGCAGTGTTAAATCAACACTTAAAGAGTTAAATTTAACACTGTCTGAGTCTATTTGGTCCTTATCTGAATAGGTGTCAATTTAACATTTTCCATTGTATTAAATTTACAGAGTACAATTTAACTCTAAACAGAGTTTAAAATTAACACTGACTAACACTGTACAGTGTTAATAAAACCTAACACTGACTAACACTGTACAGTGTTAATAAAACTTAACACTTCAAGTCAAATCACTCTGATGAGAGTAATTATGATTTTAAGCAGAGTTAATAAGGTACTCCACTGTGGTGACAAATCAACTCTGATTCTCATGTTTTTCAACACTGAGTTATTGATGGTTAACACTGTAAGTACCTCCTATGAGTGTTAATTTGACACTCTACTGTGTTGATTATTTACTCTTTTACTGTGTAGAGGGGTGTAAAATAGGCCTGTCACGATAACAAATTTTGCTGGGCGATTAATTGTCTCACAAATTATTGCGATAAGCAATAATATTGCCTGGTGACCATTTTACAACTAATAATTATAAAAGTGTAATATGTAAGTGTAATTAATCAATAAACTTTAATTTTTAAAGAATGTTTAATGTTTAAAGAAAGTGGACTCTCAGTCTCTAACAAAAAAAAGCACTTGAATAAAAAAAACGAAGAACAACAAAATGTAAATTAAAAACCACACACAACTAAGACAGTAAATACACAATATTAAAGAGCAGCATCTCTTTAGAGATGAAGCAAACTACACAGCCTGGTGAGGACCCACTGTTTCTTATGGGGACATAAGCCCAGTTCACATCCCATGTAAAGTTTAAGGCTAGGTTTAGGGTCAAATGGTAATAGAAAATACTGGTAAATGAATGAAAGTCAATGCAAAGTCCACATGAGGATTGAAGAACACACGTGTCTATATGTGCGTGTGTGTGTGTGTGTGTGTGTGTGTGTGTGTGTGTGTGTGTGTGTGTGTGTGTGTGTGTGTGTGTGTGTG